CCTCTATTATGCCATGCATAAGGACTGAGAAGTGGGTGTGCCACGTGATTCACTGTTACTCCAGATTCCAGTGGTTGATTTAAAAGAACTTCAGTTTTTTAGTAGCCAAAGAAGTATGCAGAACATGTGAGAATCCATACATTTTACAAATAATTATTTTGTTAGGGAAAATAGGAAGTTTGTGCATGGATTTTTTTGCAAATCTCCCTTTTTGTGTGTGAAAGTTACTGCAGTGCTGCTGCACACCTTTATTGGGAGAACCAGAKGAAATGTGCTACATACACACAGCAATGTGCTTCTTGCCTGTAGATTGAGTGGAGCATAGTCCAACTGTGAGGTTTTCTCAACTCTTGAACTTTTCATTTCCTCYCCTGCATGCCCGAGTCTTTAATTTTTCTTCCACCTCCAATTATTTCTTAAAAATAGCATGAGTTACTGAATTCAGGCTTACTATTTTGATTCTTACAGGAATCTGGGTATGAACCTGGTTAGAATACCTTGCATGCCTTATGTTTTAGAAACGTTTGAGATCTCTGCCAGCAACATGATTTCATTTTTTGTCTTCTCAGAATGTATGAGGTTAATACTAGGTAACTGGTATTTTTGGCTTTGCTCTACAATGAGAAGATATTGATGAAATAAAGCACCATTGTAAAGCTTTTTTTTTTCAGTGGCTTTGGACTATTTTGAAGTATTTATTTCAATTAGTAGTCGTCAAGTCCACAAAATTGTTAGGGGATTAAGAAATGTACAGATTCATGGCCACTTCTTGCATTATTCTGCTGTAGATACAATGTTCTTTTAGTTCTCAATGTCAGATAAAATTGCAGCCATTTTACTCAAGGCAATTTTAATGKCTTTTATTTAAAATTAACTTAAAATATAGTCTATGTATACTATGTACTGGGCATTTTTTTAGTATTTGTATACATGAGCTTTATATTTCTTAGTGACAAAGCAATTTGAACTGAATCACTATGGAATAAATGACTTCTCATTTGAGTATATTTTTGTGACTTTTGATTTCATTATTTTCATTTAGCTCTGCTCTCCAAGAGTCTCTGTGTTATGGATGTATTTGGACTCTAAAGATGTCACAGTGAACCTAGGGTTGATCAGTTTGGTGTGTGTTAAGGGAGCAGCTACTCAATTCTTCAGTTTTTTCTTTTAATTCCCGCCATTAGCAGTTCTTTCCCTACATCTCCAGCCATTAGCAGTTCTTTCCCCACATCTTTTCTTAAAGTGTCCCTTGTAACTAATGCATGCAACAGATGGTTGTGGAAAAAGCAGGTTTTCAATCACAGACTTTTTGGTCTGTGTGTCTTAATAGCTCAGTGGTTTTACACATGCCTAATTACCACATATTTCTGTCATTATCAATTTTTTCCCTTTTATCCCTGGGTCTTTTTTAGTGATAGCATTGGAATGCATTTTGAAAATCTTCTGGTATCACACTGAAAGCTCATGTGTGGGAACCCCTGCATTTTTACTGGGAATATTTCATAGATATATTTGCCTTTTAGTGTGATGGTTGTACATAGTATTTATGTAAGTTAGGTGCTCCTGTAAGCTTACAGATTTCCTAAATTACATAATTGACGTTTAATACTAAATTTAGACTAACTTGCCTGCTGAAATGGCTGTGCAGAGGTTTTGCCTATGATCTAGTCTAATGTCATGGGAAGAACAGAGACTGCAGCATTAATTTGAGGTACTGTGGATATTGTTGCCTATGATATTACCAATCACATAAATTATGAATGTTTCACATGCACTTAGGTTTTTTTCTACCACCCTTTCTAAAATGTATCAATTTTTATCTTACTAGACCATTTCATAAACACTTTTGCCATAGTTAGTGCTTGGAAAAGTAAGGGAGCAGGTATAAACTAATTATTTGCTAGTTTTGTGCAAAGGAAAGAAGTAATATAGCTTCTGATTAAACACTCTTATATATTAAAAAATAGCCATGATATTATTTGTTTCAAGCAATATACCGAGACCGATTTTTTATGGGAAAAAGTAGCAAAGGAACTCATGCAAGAAAATTACTTTTGCTGCGGCAAAAGTAATCTTTTTCTCTTGAAACAGTCAATAGCTTGCTCGGGAGAAGGAGATATAGGAGATTTACAAACCTTTTTATAATGTGATGTATTCTCAATGTTCATATTTTCAGCTATTTGCTTAAGTCAATCTTCAATGCTCAGTGTTACTCTTAGAGTCTATTCTCTTATTCTCCATAGTCTCATAGCGCGTTTCTCTTGGGTAGCTTCCACCTGTAGCGTGCTTACTTGCACTTTAACATGAAGACAATGCTGAAGCTGTTTTTAGAATGAATGGAAAGCCATGGTATATTGCAGGAAATTTGTGGTTTGGAGTAAATTTTTAAGTATTCGTATGTTGCAAGGTACTAATGATGTGGCTTGTGAGATTCTGTAAATTAGAATCCTCTATTTGTTCTTCCTGAAAAAAAAAAAAATAAGAAAGGTTTGGTTTTGTTTACTGTGAATAAATCCCTGGGCATTTGGTAAATCTTTTGGTTCAGAACCACCCTCAACCACCTCATTGCTGTTGTGAATATATATGACATTCTGTACATTTAACAGCATAACATAAAGAGTCATTAGAGGTTAAGATTAAGACTCCAGAAGGGGTAAGAGCTATTTGCATATACTCGGGCTTATATACAAATACACAACAGCCAGTTTTATTAGCCCTGAAACACATGAGAGATATGGAGATAAACATTTAACCTGGCCTATTGCGCCAGTACAAGATGCAATAATTTTAAACTAAATGAGGGTAGATTCAGACTAGGTATAAGGAAGAACTTTTACAATAAGGGTGATAAAACATTGCAGTCCTGTTGTTACCAAGTGTATTTAGATTACTCGTTATTTTCTGAAGTTGTACTTGAAGAATCTGAATATGTAGTAAGTTAGAAATTTGTGCTGCTTAGACTGTATATCTTTCTAAAATACAGTTTTGAGTTACTGATGTATCAGTAATGACATGCAAGGTAATAGCCATTGTGTTTAGTATGCCTGTGATGATTTTTTCCCCAGAGTTTACGTGAAATAACATTTAGCAGATAGTTGCCAGCAACAGTTTTAAAGTTTAGGCACCGATGCTGTTGGCAAATCAGAAAGGAGCTGTCAAAAAGTAGGGAATCATATTAGAACCATAAGACCTGTTTATATGCATATGCTTTGCATATGGCATACAGCTTTTAAAACATTGTGGTGTTGGTACATAAATGGTCTATTTCTCAAAGTTGGACTCAGAGCAGGATTTGCAATGTCCAGATCTGTCTTATGTTTTTAAGAAATAGATTTCGTCATGTGCATATATGTGACTACTGAAACAAACCCACTGTGTATATCCTTCATTATGTTGTGTAGTCTGCCCTTAAAAGAGCAGCGGAAATTCAGTGGAGTTGATTGGTTGATTTTAAGTACTTTGATTATTTTATCATGTTTATTTTTAGATTTTAACAAACTTTTAATAGTAGCAGATTATAATTTCGTGCATTAAGGTTTCAGAAACAATTTTTTTAAAAAGCCAGTATTGAATTCAGTGGGAGTTTTTCTCATGCCCTAAGTACCATTTTCTAGAAGATATAACTCTTAGCAGCCTGAAATGCATGCAAACAGTTTGTGGAATAGATGTTTAAAGATAATGAAGAATGTAAATCTATTTCCTTGGCCTACATCTGCCCACATGTTATCATAATCTTGGAGTTCTCTGTGTCCTGGGATTATGTTTGCTTTACAGTCCTCAGAATGTCTTTCTGAAGAAGATAGGAGCACATTTTCAACTGTTAATTACACAATTAATATTATTTTCTGGATGATTAGTATTATCAGACAGATGGACTAGGTCATGGACTGATTTAAGTAATCCTGACTTATTTTTATATGTCATTGGATATCTGGCCATTAGAAGAAATTAGTGGATAAAAAAATTGCAGAATTAATGGAATACTGTTTCTATTAGGAGTGTGATAACCTGCAAACATTTTGAAGAAGCTTGTTCCAACATTGCTTCTTAGCATCCTTTACCTCAACAGAGCAGTCTGTTAAATTATGAAAATCTTGTTGTCAGGCTACATGCTTGGGGCATACCAGCTAGAGGCTAATAATTCTCTGAGGATGTTGTGGAGATGATTTGCTTAAATCAGGTTGTACTGGTCACTGAAATCGCAAATGATTTCTGAATCAGGTTTTGTCACCTGCATTCAACCTGCATCTGTTATATATGTATGTATTTATATAATTAAGGTAAAAATCTGCTGAACAATGGCATAATCAGATCTTCGCAACTCTAGGAAAAAAGCACAAAGCTACTGCAAAATAAAATAAGGTTTGAAAATGAGATATTAAGGAAAAATTGCAAGTTTAATACTTTTTTTTCCAAAAATAGAAGTTCAAAGTCAAATAAAAATACTAAATATCAAAAGATCTTATCAACTGCAGTGATAATATCAAAAACCTAACTATTAAAGATTCACTTCAAGGTGGGGTAAAGTTAGTTTGTAAATAATACTTAAATACTGTATTGTAAATAAAGTAAAATAAAAATGCATGGACTAAACTGTATAAATTGTGTCTTATTTTGCTGGCATGTCTTTCTTGTGTATAAACTGTTAGTAACATGATGATAAATGAATAATGAAAGGAATTAGGTTTAAGAAAGCATACTATTCACAAGCGCTGCTTTAGATGTTGATGCATTCCAGAGCATGATTACATGGTTTCCAAATGTACAAAGAGGTGGGGTTTTTTTCTTACAGCATTATGTACACTTAATGTTTTAAAAAATCGGTCTTTGTCCAACTGGAGTGAAATACTATGGGTTATAACATCTATTATCACTGGTATTTTTTTCTCACATTGAATTGGGATTGCATGTTCATGGTCAGCTTTCCCTTCATGCACACATTTTTCTGAATTAATATTTCATACTTATTTTCATTTTTCCATTAATTTCTTCCTCTTCAGGTGCAATCTAGCTCCTGTGGTGGAGTTTGCTGCCGATGTGGGAATTAAATCTGATTTTATTACCATGAACCCATCAGTTGTACAAAGAGCATTTGGAAGCTTTCGGAATGAGAGTGACAGAGAAAAATTTGTGCGTAGACTATCCATGCTGAATGACGGTGTCCTTTGGATCCCAGCTTTCATGGTCAAAGGTGGAGAGAAGCATGTGGAGTGGGTAAATGCATTAATCCTTAGGAATAAATTGAAAGTGCGAACCGCCTATCCATCACTGAGACTTATTCATGCTGTCAGAGGGTAAGTGTATGGAAAAGACTCATCCTTAGCACAGTGAAACTCATAACTAGAATTGCTGGCAGGCAGAAAAAAAGATTGTCAAAAGGAGCGTAGTATTTTCCTTACCGATGCAATGGTTTGCATTTATGACAAGTTTGTTTGGTAATAAATGCCCACTCATTTTGCCAGCTCTACCGCAAACATCTGCAAGGTATTGGAATAACTTTTCAAATTGCTCTTTTATGTGCAAAAATGTATCATCTTCTGGTGATAAGATATTCTTAAAAATAGTCTGATTTCATTGTACAGTGAAAGTGTTACACGTCTTCTTTGGRAAAAACTATGAATGTAAAAAATACTGTTATATTTTTTTATGCTAAATAGTATTGGGGTAAGGTAGAAACTCTTCAAATAATGAATCCCAGCAGATCTGAAAATACTGAGCTCCTTCATAAAACATCTCTGATTTGGAGCAATCTTTCTCCTTTTAAATTTGGCCGGATGCTTAGGCAATTCAAAAAATGGATCTGAATTACTGAAAATGTTAATGAGCCCAGTAGTGAGAAAAATAATGTAGCCATGCCTTGGGCAGATACTTTTCTTTTTAACCCCATAATTAAACAAAACTGTCAGATGAAGGCTCCTATGCCTTTGTCACTACCTATACACTGGAAGAATGTAGGGCTATGCCTGAAAATCATTCAAAAGATGATGATAGTGCAATGTAATTGCATCAAATTATGATATTCGGCTTGAGTTCCTTGAAATGTGCTGTCTGTTTGCAGGGTTTAGGAAAGATGCCTTAAAGTACTGCTATTGGCTTGTACACCACTTACTGATTATGTAGCTCTTCTTACAACAGCTGAGATACATTTAGAAAGGATGTTTGAGCCATTATCCCAACCTAATATGAGAGTAAAACTTAGAAATTAGTTTTTCTTTGGGGTATTGGACTTTGAATATGCATTTCTCCTTTTGTCATGTCTCGTAGATTAACTGCTTCATTCCCTCTTGTGCACTTCTGGCCCTGGAAAACCTTTGAAATTGGGAAATCCTTCAGAAAACCTTTACTTTTTTACTGAATTACTCAGTTTCATTACGCACTCATACTTTAGCTATTTATGGGTCATGATCATGTTGAATTTTCAAGTATTCAAATTGTCTGTAGCACACAGTTGTAGTGGTTTGTATGTGTGTTTAAATCTGTATGAGATTGCTTTCAGTTTGCAAGCAGCTGTTTAAATTTCCATTGGGTAATTCTGGGCAAAATAATCAAATGTGATTGGATATTACAGAATGTGTAGTCTTTAAGTTGGCCAACTTGAAGGTCTTTTGGGGGGCTTAAAAAAATCAATAACACCTACTTTTCTCTCTGAAAGAGGTAGCAAAAGGTCTACCATCAGAATTGTTGATAATTTAGATTGAGCTGTGTTTTAGATTATACCTAGCAGTGTCATGTGATATAATTGCATAGATTCATCCAGTTGTTGAATCTGTGTTTTAAACTCCAAGGTAAATTTAAATAGATATCAAGAGTTCTTTGATTCAGTCAATCTTAAATTTTATTAAAATATGGAAATACTGTGTATTTTGGGCCAAATAATTTCATATCTAATCATCAATAAGGTTCATCATTCCAATCTGACATTAAATATGGAGTGAGAACATTTTTTATGCAGAAGGTTTAAGGCTCAGTGTTTGGAAAGTGTTGTCTGTATTCTTTTTGTGTGTATGAAACTGTCAAATTTTTCTTTTATTAGTCTTTAGCATATAGTGTAGGCATTTTCTAAAGGTAGAATATTCAGTTGTATAGTCTTCTGATCTAGTGAGGCCAAATTCTATATTTCTAATGCCAAATAAAGTTAAATTAGAGTTTTATCTATTAATGGGGCAGTTTGGCTACAATCACAGCATTGCACTGAAACTCTCACTCCTGTTCTTCTCCCTTCACTTTTGATGAAAGAAACATTGTGAGGAGTACGTAGAATTCCAGAATTGCTATTGATCAGATTGYAGAATAATAACTGAATTCTGAGAATTTTTAGAACTTTTTTCCTGTCAATTCGTGCACTTTTTGAGTTAAAAAAAAAAAAAAAAGTAGTGTGGTAATGGAAAACGAAACTACGGTTTTGCAGATTTCATGTTTTATAAAACTTCTGTGAATGATGGCTGCTCCTCTAAAGTCGCAGAAGGATTTCAGATTTTAAAACCAGATTATATAAATAGAAAGTCCAACATGATAACTACTTTTTAAAATATATGACATATTATAAATGGCCACTGGATTGCGATTTTTTTCTTCAGTAGTTTTACATTGGGTGGTTACCTGTGATGTTTTTTCTCTATTTTACTTTCTCACTTCTTGATCAATAAGTTTTGAATTTTAGATTTTGAAAGTAATTTGGGAGCCCATTGCATGATTTTTTCCCAAAATGTCTCTAAAAAACTAATTTATAGAACTTTTATTACCATTGCACACATTGCACAGTGCACATATTGACAAAATAAATGAGACAATCAATATGTGACAGAGTTCAACACACAACTAAGATCTATAAATGAGCATCTTAACTGATTGAAAACATTTATTTGCTGTCTAATGTCACTGCCAAGATTAATTAGAAATTATAATGAGCAAATTGCATAATTTTTTTTAATTGACTTCAATGACGAATTTTAGAAATTTTTTTTAATTAGTAAGCCTGAGATTTAATGCTGAACTATTTAATTAGGATTATTTGTAGCAATATTTTCCAAATGAAATTATACTCTCTGAGCTGTGGAATGTGTCTGCATAGAGGCTTGTCTCAGTAGCAGACCTGTAATGGAATACGGATTAAACAGTAGGCAAACAGGTACTGAACCTGCTGGGATTAGTGTCCAGATCACGTTGTTTACCTCCAGTGGTGGCAAACAACCAAATTCAGAAGTAGGACCAGCAGGATATTCTGCTATGAATCCCACCTTGTGGATGTGTGGAAGGATTAGAAAGGTTCTTGAGACTAAACATGTAGTTGGTACATCAGTTGGTCAGTTACCTCACAGAGCCTTTAACAGCTTTTTTTGTTTTTGTGGGAACAGCTCTTTTTTTTTTTTTTTTNCATTAACAAAGTTTTAGGGAAAGTATAATCCCACAATGGGAAAATGCTCTTTTTTTTTTTTTTTTCTTCTGCTGGTTAATATCTGAAGATATCAGCTGAAAAGGCTGAACACCACCACTTCCTTGCCCTGCCAAGCAATACAAATTTATAATACTCCATTTTACTGAGAAGTTTTTTCTCTTGTTTTCTTTCCTAAATCCACAAAACAAAGTTCTCACGCTCATCTTCATATGCAAGAATGTTTCCTTGGCTTTCTTGCAACTGGAGCCATCCTGTAGGAAACTGGATATTTTGAACTATTAGTCACTTAGGAACAGTATCACTAAAACTGCTTCACATAAGATTCCATCCCATCTTTTGGGTACAGAACAATTGTAAGGACATCCTGTGGGATTTGCCTGTGCTCTTCTTATTTCCTCCATGATACTGCCTTTGAAAGAGCAGTGTTATCCTGCATTAAACATGGCAGAACTCCCACTGAAATCTCTTTGAGTTTTGCCTATGTAAGGAGTATGCTGTGTCCATTTATGGTCACAACTCAATTCAGGGTCCTTTTTTTATTAGTGAAAGCAAACAGCTGTTCTTTGAATGTAGTGACCTTTTGCACAACTTTACCACATCTTCAGAGTTCTTTACTATGGGAATTACAGAGAAAATCCTTTTAGAAACTGAAACATGCAGAAATCAAGTAGTTCTCCAGCAGCTCTGTGAGTAATCTATATTGTCAACACTTCTGTTTTTTTTTTCTTCCCGCTAACAGACCTTCCTTTGTGCTTTACTGCTAAAATATGTTTCTTAAGAAAAGATGTGTGGAATATATGGATGAATAAATAATCACCTGAGAAAAGATAAGATTACAAAAATGGCCATTAAGCTAAAAATAGAATTCTAAATATAAAATCACTGTGTCTTTTGCATCATGTATAGAAATGTTCAAAATAATGAAAAAAAAAATCATGCTAGATTCTTGTTAGTGTAGTACAAGCCTTGGTTTTGTGTAGGTGGACATTAAAAATGGGAGTTCTACGTTACAGTACCCTCTTGCCCTAGTGTAAGGTATCCTTGGAGCTGACTTTGTTTAACTTATACAAATAAATGGGATGCCAGTTAGTTTGGATTTTAAGAACCTAATCTATTGTGTGAAGTTATTCTTCTAACCCCAGTATCCTGTCCTATGCAGAGAGCAGGAAGTGATATTTATGTTCCTGAAGTGGAAGACTCCAGGGTCAACTTTTCAGTCTAACAGCTAATTGCCAGAGCTGCAGCACCTCTTCATCTCTTAAGAGTGTGCACTGATGTGGTTCAGAGTTTCTCAGAATGAGCTTTTATTTCCTTTGCACAAGTTCTCTTATTTTATTGTGTTTCTGAAAGATTTAGCAAGGTCTGTCAAGAAATACCTCATTTTTTGAGAGTTTTCATTGGAGGCAAATGCAATTGAAGTAGAGAAGAGTGAAAGCAGAACTGACTGTGCCCTAAACTGCTTTTTATATTTTCACAGCCTGGTTCATTCTGTCAGGTAAGCCATGAAAAGTCTGATCACGTTAATAGGAATATTTTAATTTACTTTTTTTTAATTCTTATTTACCTTTTGAAAATAAAGTTCTGTGAGTTTTTGTTTCGAGAGAAGGGTTTTATCTCTTACTGGGCAACTGTTTTGTTCCTTATCAACAACATTTATATACTTAAGACTTGTAAAACTTACTTTTCTCAGGTTGTATTTCAGGTTTCAAGTAGTGAAAAGCAACAGAATTAGTTAAAAGATAGGAATGAAATTTTTCATTTTCACGTTTTGCTGGTTAGTTTATCTACCGTGAGCAATAGCACTGTACTTAATGCTAATAAATCCTAGGAGGTAAGCAGGGAATACGTAACACATAGTTTATTCATGCAGTGCATCTGAAAATTTAAATTTATTTTGAT